GGCCCCCTTGGGGCCCCGCATGGGGGCCCCCTTAGGGGCCCCCTTGGGGCCCCGCATGGGTGCCCCCTTAGGGGCCCCCTTGGGGCCCCCCATAGGGGGCCCCATAGGGGCCCCCTTGGGGGCCCCCATAGAGGCCCCTTTAGCGGTTTCTGGGGGTGGCTCTCTGGGGGCCCCCTTGGGGGTTTCTCTGGGGCCCCCTGTGGGGGCCCCCGTGGAGGGCACCTTAGGGCTACCTGGAGGGGCCCCTGAGGGGGCCCCTGAAGGGCCCCCTGATGGAGCCCCTGAGGGGGCCCCTGAGGGGCCCCCACAGGGGCTCGTAGCAACCAGTGAGGCTGCCCCCAAACAATATGAGGTACCTTTTGGGGGGCCCCTTGAGGGGCCATTGGGGCCCCCAAGGGGCCCCAATGAAGCTCTTTGTGGGGGACCCCTTAAGGAGTCAACTGGAGGGCCCCCTGCGGGCCTCCTTGGGGGCCCCCTGGGGGGCCCCCCATGGGGCCCCTTTGAGGGTACTTTAAATAGGCCTTTTGGCGAATTGCCTGGGGCAAACTCCACATGGTGTGGGGTTTATATTGGCCAGCCAATGGGCGTTTGGGGCTTTATAGATGGGGCCCTTCAAATGCATGCAGCAGCAGCTTCTGGGGCCCCAGAACCCCACAGGGGACCCCCCCAGGGCCAAACAGATGGGGAGGCCCAGGGGGCCCCTGGGGGCCCTTCAGGGGGCCCCCTCGTCCAGGATCTCACCCCTGGGGGCCCTGCAGGGAGACCCCAGGGGGACAGCGCTGCTGGGGGCCTCCATGGGGGCCCCCAACCTGCAGGGGGCCCCCAAGGGGTCCCCCAGGGGGACCATCAAAGGGGCCCCCAGGGAGGCCCCAAGGGGGCCCCCCAAGGGGGCCCCCAATGGGGCCCCCGGAAGTGGTACCCGCTGCTGCGTCAGAGGCTGCAGCAGCTCTTGGGGGTTTCTCCTGAGGGGGTCGAAGGGCCCTTGCAAGGAAGTGCCAGTAGTACTACGGAAGCAGCAGCAGCAGCAGCAGCAGCAACACCAGCAGCAGCAACAGCAGCAGCAGGCTGCTCTGGGCGTATTTCTGGCGCTGAGAAGCGGCGGCGGTGGAGATTGCAGGAAGAAAGTTTTTCAACAATTTCAGAAAATTCAGAAAATTCAAAAAGTTCAAAAAATTCAATTTCAACAAATTCAACAACTCCAACGATAACAACAACCCCACCATCAACAACAACACAATCCCCGCCGCCTGTAGCAGGGCCCGCAGCAGCAGCAACAGCAGCAATCCCAGCAGCAGCAGCAGCAGCAGCCCCAGCAGCAACAGGAGCAGCGGAAGACGCCGCAGCAGCAGCAACTGCAGCAGCAGCAGCAACAGCAGCATCCCCGCCCGTTGCAGCAGCAGCAGCAGCCCCGCGCAGCGTGGGGGAGGCGCTGGGAGCAGCGCGTTTGTTGCTGGGTCCGTCTGCCGCTGCTGCTGCTGCGCTGCGGCGCAGCAGATTGTGTCTGCCGAGCCGGCTGGGGGCTGGGGAAGTGTGGGGTGCTGGGGTGTACGTACACCCCGAGGGCGCAGCCCCAGAAGAAGCCTGGTGGGCGCAGCTGCGAGCAGCAGCAGCAGCAAGAACCCCACACCCCACACCTGGGATCGGGATCGGGATCGGGATCGCCTCCTCCGAGGACCTCCTCAGGGCCAGACTCCTCTGGGGGGACCCGCTGGTCCAGGCCGGCAGGAAGTACCGCAACAACTGGCAGCTCCCCGTCGTTTGGCCTAAACCCTAAACCCTAAACCCTAAACCCTAAACCCTTTTTTCCGTCCTTTGGCCGCGCCGCTCTAGGTCGCCAGGCAGCGGCTTCCCCTCTGGGCGCTAGAGACTTCGAAAAGCTACTGACTTGCATGCATGCATGCATGCGTTTATGCATGCACGCATGCAGCAGGCTAACTTGGGTTTTTGAAGCTTTTGCGAGTTAAGTTTTGTTGTTTTCATTTGTCTACTTCGGGGCCGCCAAGGAAACAAAAAGAAAAGAACAAAGAAACCTCCAAAGCCCCAAGCCCCGCAACTTCGCACAAACCAAAAAACCAACCCTCCATCCACGCATGCATGCATGCATGCATGCATGCATGCATGCATGCATGCATGGGGCTGTACACAGTGTAGTGCATGCATGCATGCCCGCACGCATGCATGCACCAATGGCACCTGCTTGGAAA